TAGAAATATAATTGATCAAGCTTTGGAGAAAGAAGCTCTTCTATCGAACCAACAAGAGATCGACATTTTCACAGAGTTGACGAACAAATTAGGATTTCCCAAGGGTTTTAAATCGGATAATTTGAATTAGCCGAAGTTAGCAATATTGTGCAAAAACAAAGTTTTGTTTCGACAAGTAGTTAGTTCGATTAGATATGCGCAATGAAAGGAGATACAAACTGTGGGTATTGGGCTTGGCAAAAATCATACTTTATTCATGGTGCATGAAAAAAGTGAGCAGAATATGGAAACACATAAAAGGAGCTACTGTTGGCTTAGAAAAGATAAACGTACAGAAAAGAATTGAAATTATTTAAAGAGCGTTAAAAATTGATTACAAAAATGGATCTAAATCAGGGTTGAAGTTAGGCTAGTTGTTGTCATCAATTGTTATCGTCAATTTTTAGTCATCAAGAAATAGAAGAGCACCCTTCGACAGAAGCAATTTTGTGGATTGCAAATAGAAGTGCTTATGTATATCATTTTGTTTGTTTTAACCAGTTTTGTGATTTGCCCTGGGTTTGTTTTGGACAGATTCAAACTCGACTCTAGGAGCCATCAATGGATCCAGCTAAACAACCAGCTAAACAGCTAAACTTCAAAGGCTAGCCTTCGAAACGAGAAAGGGGTTTCGAAAGACGATTTCTCAAAAGCTAATAAGAAATTGAAAGAACTTATACAGAACTTAAAATTTTTATCCAGCGGTTTTTTGGGGTAAGGAAAAAAACCCATAGAAATTACCCATCTGTGAAAATAATAATTGAATATGTAGACAAATATAGCTGCTATTGTGTGTTATCAAATCAAAATTTTTTTCTAAAGACCGATTACTAGGTAAGCAATTCAACTGACTACTAGCTATAATTTCTAGAGCTTAAAGCAAAAAGCAAATTTACTCACTTTGCCTCCGGCATCTGATCCTAGATGCGCCTCAACGCGGGAGCCATTTTATTCGTTACAGTTCCAGCGACAAAAATGAGATCGCACTAAACGTTTTATAACGTTTTTTTAATTAATTAAGCGAACCTGTCGAGGCGACGCTCGAAACACAACTCCATAGCGATCCATGTCATAACGAGGAGCGGCAAAGTGCGTAAAATTGATCATTGATCACTGTAACGAATAAAATGGCGGTAAAGCAAAGTAAAAATAAACCAACATCATTTTGACGGCGCAAGAAGCAAGTCCAAAAGTGAGCGACCAAAGCGATGTTCTTTGTGCCAAGTTCATCACATCATCTAAAAAAAAGACGATTAGCATTGCTTGACCCATAATCAATAATAATATAACTAAAGATTTTCTAAAGCCTTAGTCTAATAAAATCTAATAAAATCTATTACCCAGTCGAGCCAAGGCATATTCCGCAGTACTTTTTGGGGCCGTGAAAGGCGTGCCCGTTTTGTTCAACCTTTTTAATGCATCTCCCTGAAATGTCAAATATAATCATAGTTTTCTATGTAACCGGTTATCCAAGTATCTAGTTAATCTACTAAACAAAACCAACCGTTAGTTCGAGTGTTGAAGTCGGTGTTGCAAGCCGGCGGACACTTTGCGCAGCAATCGCCCACAAAGGTGTCTGTAGGATGCCTGAAAAAATAGCAAATTATGGGTCATAAAATAGGAAAAAGATTAAAAAGAATAAAGTGACATTATTTTGTGACGCGTTCTATATTCTCGAGGCCAAGAGCAATTCTTGGGAGTAGTGCAAAAGTTGCTTTTAAAACGAAAGAGAGAACTAACCTAAATCTGGATTGTTTACAGTCGAAAACAGCCGAAAACCCTTTTCCAAAAGGACTTTTTACGCAAAGCACTTTGTTGACACCAAATTCTGTCGTCAACGGCCAAAATTTGTACGTTTTTTTTTCCAGAAAACTGTACATTTTCGATTCCCAACTGTGCCACAGTACATTTCCAACTTTCAGCCGTTTTCTGTATTTGTCATCGCGCTAAAACGTGTCTATTGAGCGTCACATTTGTCGAAGTCATCATTAGAATATCATGTTTCTTGGTCAGATGTCATCGTTGTTTGCTCTGGCTCACACCAAACCATACTCCATATTTTGTGCAAAGTTTTTTCCATTTCACATCTTATTAGAATGCAAATTATGTAATGCTTTAAATTTCCAAACATCAGAATCAGTAACTGGCCATTCTGACGACAGAGTTCTAGAGCATTACAACCACTCTTTTATTGGAAATTCATCATTCACGCTTTAGAAACAAGCTTTCACTACTGAAAATGCTAAAAGTGATCCACTGCATCGATCTGTTCCTTACAAAGACAATTTCTTTTTATTTACAGGTAGAAAGGCGCCATTCAAGATGCCAATCAAGATGCAAAATCTGAAAACATTTCCAATCGAACGTCTTTGCTTCGATCTGAAGTTGGAGGTTTTGGAGCAATTGGACGCAGAAGATGTGATTGAATTGGTGAAAGTCAATCAAGGATTCCAGGGGATGATTTCGAGTCGACCATCGATCGTTTCTGGACATCATGTGGATACGATTGAATTTGGGCTTGATCCACAAGGAATTGAAGCAATCAACATCAGGAAGCTGAATTCGGAGTCACTTAAGGTCAGCCTGGATGTCATTCGTCATTTTGCTTTCATAAAAAAACATTCGATCGTGCAATGAATTGAGGGTGCGTCACGATTACAACAGTCCAATCGACGAGGACCACGCCTCTTTTATGAAACAATTAGAGGCAGTGAATTCACTCTATCTTTATTGGTGTTCGCCTGAGCACCTGGAGTTGCTTTCTCATTTGTCAATCAAGATCAAGAGATACGCGGTACTTTCCAGCTTCCTTCGAAGATTTCCATCAATAAAAGATCTTGTTGGGCATTTTATTGAGACTCAACTCAACGAATGTAAAATGGTCGAATTTCAGCCTGAAGATGATGAGGAATTTCAGTTTTACTACAATGCTTTGATAAAGACCCACATCGAATATGTTGGAATCCGTTTCAGCAATTCAAAGGATTGTTAGCCACGGAATTCCAAGCCAACACCCCGCAGCGGTTATGAGAATTTGCGTCGAACAAAACCAACTCTCGTTGTCTATCATCCCTCTCTCGCTCTTTGTTTTTCTCAAGGGATATCCGGAAATGAAACAAATCAGCGAGAAAAATCGTCAACCATTGATTGCACTGGCAAACGAACGTTCGATGGGAAGCAGCTATCCCGCTTTGACGATGAAAACTAACTGTTTCCGACGAAACATCGATGCGACGCGAGATTGCATCTACATGTTGTCCTCGGCTGGATTTCTCGCCTTTTACATCAAGCCCGATGAAATGATCGATCATTGATGTTTTATTGCTATATTTTGCTGACCTTACATTGCCTTTGCGTAATTTAAATTCTGTTTTGCCTTTAAGCTAGCATTAACTAATCTGATCAACTTATCGGAGAACCAAACTTTTAAATTTTGGCGGCTAATGCTAGTTTTTCATGACTCTTTCTTGTGCCTTGTTGACTATTTATTCATTCTGTCTACTCATGTTTGAATTTGAAATTTGATCTCCGCTGATGTAGTTTAAATGTCTTAGACTGAGTTTGTATTTAATTCCCTTCCCTACTATTTCACTTGAAAGTTTCCTTGTTACGAGCTCTCTTTTCATTTTAAATACATTTTCTACTTTCTGCCGATTTTCTATTTTAGTTATGGAGATTTGTAATTGTCTGGACGACGTAATTGATCTGCAAAGTTTGCCACCTCTGCCAGACTCTATGCACCTCTCAATCAGCTTCAAAATTGGTTCAACCTGTTTTACTCCGAAGGAAAGGGATCAAGTCTGTTTGCATTGTGGTTTTAATTCTGACAAAGTGGCGGTGTGTATACTAGATTCTCTAAATCGATCAGATTTTTCTGCCTTCTCAAATTCTGACGAAGATTATGACATCCTGTGCGCTAGTCTCCCCTGAATCAATGGAATTAGCATGTGGTCATTCTCCTTTAATGACTCCACCACACATTTTGAGAGCTAGAAATGGACTAGCCGATTTTTTTGTCGTCGTTCCCATTATGGAAAACCCTTAATCGACCCTCTGGTTAGTAAGGAGCTGAATAAACTCTCGAGATATTGTCGTAATTTGAGGAAAATATTACTAGAATAGGCTTGCTCTTTTGAGGATAGACCTTCCCTTTTTGAACTAAAAACTTTACAACATCGTTGCTTTGTCATTGATCTACTCGAAACTTTCCAAATCTTGCGTCGCAAACAGATTAGCCCTTTGTTTGTTGAATTTTTCAAATTTAACTCGAGTTCAGAGTCCAGAAGTGGTTCATTCCTTTTGCAGATTCCCTTTGCGTCTGATGCTTCTTTATGAAACCCATTTCCCGTTAGAGCCGCTAGGTTATGGAACTTGCTTCTAAATGACATACGAGAAATTCAGCCAATTTCCATTTTCAAGAAATAAATCGATGCTCTAGATCTAACGGCCCTCTAGCATAGGTAATCCGATTATTTGCATATTTACTAAATTTAGTATCTTCGTATCTTTTTTTTGTATCTACATTTATGCCTCATTGTGCATTTCTCTATGATTTATTTATTGAGTTTCACTTTATCATCTGAATAGAGATATCACTCTTATCTTGTTATTAAGAGAGAAGGTAGACTGTATATTTGCATTGACATTTTAGATCTTTTGGCTTTTTGCATTTTTCATATTTCACCAAACATTTTTAGATTCACTAGAACTTTCGTTTCCGTTTGGTTCGCTTTTCGGGTTACAAAGAACCGAATCGAAGTTTAGGATTCGGCACAGATTTCACGTTAAAAAGCGAGATTTTTTTTGATGAATCAAACCAAAAAAATTTTTGTGCCATACCGAAAAATCGGAAATTTCTGCTAAACCAAAGGAAATCGAATTTTCAAAAAATCGAAGATTAAACCAAAAGTCTCGGTGTAAAACAGAACAGAATAACTGAAGATTTTGGATTTTGGTGTTTACATCGATTCGGAAAGCCCCAGATCAAATGAATCTTTTGGTACCCAGGCCTCGTCCACTTCGACTCCCGCATTATCGTGGCACTGACGAATGTGTGTCTTGATATTGACTCGTGGATGATGGCACACACCGCAAAGACCGCAAAGACTGCATCTGAAATAGGAAAATATAATTTGCATTATATTATATTTTTTTTATAAGCAAACGTGTATCGTTTCCGGGACGAGTGAGTCACGGCATGGCATGGGATCTTGGTGCGGCCGAGCGAGCACATTTCTTCAATGTTTACTGTCTATTTATAATATAATATAATATTTTATATATTATTATATTAATGTTCTTCAAAAACTTACCGAACTGGGAAACCCCGGGAATCACTGTTAGAACAGCCAATTGGGGGTTTGCCGGCCATTTACTAGGGATCGTACGTCCATCGTACGTTTTCATGCCCCGATTCATAATCGATTCCATCGTTTTTGCTGACACGGTTTGCTCCTGGAAATTTGAACTTGTGAGATGAATAGTTACGAAAGTTGGTTTTTTAGAAATTCACGATTTTTGATCATTACACAAGTACGGAAAATGCCTTTTATCCAATAAATATTTGATTACCCCAATAATCTCGAGGGTTTTCTCGAATCCATTAATTCAGAGGATCCCTGCAAGGAGAAAGTGCCGTCGAATGAGCCGACAGTGTGCCCCGAATCGTTCAAATAGCACGCCTCGTCCAGGCCCTTTGAACAACTGGAATATACTATCTACAGTAGTGGCCAAAAGTTTGGACACACCCATTTCAGGAGTGCACACAGACACAAGCAAGATCCTAACAGCAAAAACGAAAAAGCTCCTAAAAAAGGATAAAAAAGAATAAAGGTTTTCTAAAGTGTGGCACAACGGGTCTAAAATCGATTTTCTCAAAAATTAAAAATGGTGCTGATCTGATCAATACCAATTTTTACATGCTATCCAACCGAATGAAAAAGCCAAAGTTTCATCAAAATCTGTCTACTCAAAAAAAGTTAATCGGGTGCCTACGTTTCCAGACTATTTCTTCCAGATTTACATCTATTCTATATCTAGCCGAGGAAGAAATTGAAGGATTTCACTGCAAAATTGCAAGAGGAATTCAAAAAACATAAAACGAATGTCTCAAATCGATTAAAAACGCCCTCAAATGGCCCGCAATCTTACCTTGAGATTTTGGATTTTGGATTTTGGATGAGATTTTGGTCGTAATTACAACTGATTACAACATATTTGATGCGGATCTTTATAAAAGCATTATAGTAAAACCGAAATTCATCATCATCCTTACAGCCAAAGCTGACCATTTTACATTCGTTGAGTTGAGTCTCAATGAAATGCCCAACAAGATTTTTTATTGATGGAACTTTTTGAAGGAAGCTGGGAAGACCCGCGTATCTCTTGATCTTGACTGCCAAATGAGAAAGCAACTCCAGGTGCTGAGCCGGACACCAATCCAAATGGAGTGAATAAGTGAATTCCCATTCAGCTTCCTGATGTTGATTGCTAAAGTCAAGCTGGGTAATAAAACCGAAAGTGATCAAAATGATGGGAAACTTTTTATGTTTATAGTGCATATATATTCAAACCCTGTACCAGAAGCCGCGCGCTTAGGTCAACAGAAAACTTCCCAGTTTTTCTGCGTAAAATGCACAAGGTAGAGACAAAATTCTTCCCAAGAATTTGGGCATAATGACGCCCAAAGAGGCAAAGCCGGCTCAGTCGCTCACCGCTCCTTCGGGCCTTTGGCGATTCCAAAATATTTCATTGAATCTCCCAACTTAAACATGGGTTGCCAATTCTGGAACGGACAGAACATTCACACGAATAAATTGATCAACACTGTTCAAATCCTCTGAATTCCTTTTCTGAGCTCAATTCTGGAACACATGAAACCCTTTGGAAGTCATCGATCGAAAATTAGTTCCCCATCAATTTCCCCAAATTTCAAGGGGGCCCGCGGAGCAGATGTGTTTTCCATATAAAAAGTGGCCAAATCAACAAAAATTTCCAGTCGTGATTCAAACCTTGCTTTTAAAACGAAAGAGTTTAAATTCAACTTGTTACGGATACATAAAACCCATTAGAATGGCGATACAAAATGATCAGATTAGATAAGTCCTTTTTTCAGCGATGTCTAACTCGAAATGAAGAAGGCAAAGCGGAAAGAAAGAATGGTCCGGAGAAGAAACGATTGGTATTCAGGCATTTTCCCCAGAAAACCTTAAGAATCATAATTTATTCATGGTGCATAACTAAAATAGAAGAAGAGCGGGAGAAACTAGGAAATGTATTTAAAATTAAAAGAGGGCTCGTAACAAGGAAACTTTCACGTGAAACAGTGGGGTGATGAGACTTATCGAATGACAATAAAAGAATTTACCTATACAAAAAAGTTTTTAAACAAAATTCACACCATACTAGAGCAGTCACAGCAAAACAATATGGATCAGGACAATGCAGAAGAAGAAAGCTCACATACCTACGAATCGTGGACGAAGTTGCCGATTGAAACTCTCAGACAATCCGACTCGTTTGAAACCGATAAACGAGCCAGTCAAGCGAGTCACTAAGAACAACTCACAATAAATGAAGGATTGCTTGACAAAAAACACAACAAACAACGCTGAAATCCATAAACTCGTTTGGTAGATTCTGACAGATGCGTTAGTCAAAGCCTAAAAAGGTTCGTACAAAATTGAGATCTGAGGTGCCGATCGAACAACCAATAAAGTAGCCAAAAGAGTCAATCCATTCCTTCCACAACGAATTTGAAGTTCAAACCAAAGAATTTGAATTCAACTTGTTACGGATACATAAAACCCATTAGAATGGCGATACAAAATGATCAGATTAGATAAGTCCTTTTTTCAGCGATGTCTAACTCGAAATGAAGAAGGCAAAGCGGAAAGAAAGAATGATCCGGAGAAGAAACGATTGGTATTCAGGCATTTTCCCCAGAAAACCTTAAGAATCATAATTTATTCATGGTGCATGAAAAAAGTGAGTCGTTAAATGTAAATACATCGAAAGAGCCGCTTTTGGCTTAGAAAAGATAACCGTACAGAAGAGAATTGAAATTATATTTTAGTTTTGGACTTTTGTATAGAAAGTTTAGAAATTAAGTTAAATTCAATATCTTAGGGAAGGGAATTAAATACAAATTCAATCTAAGACATTTAAACTCAAGTTCTCGGAGATTAAATTTCAAATTCAAACACGATTAGCCAGAAAGAATAAATAATCAACTAGTCACAAAAAACAGTCATGAAAAACTGGGATTAACCGCCAAAATTTCAAAGTTTGGGTTTGACAAATCTCCGAGTTTGAGATTAGTTAATGCTAAACCCAATAGAATCCCGATATCAAATGATTAGATAAGGCTTTTTTCAGGGATGTCTGACTCGAACGAAGAAGCCAAAGCGAAAAGAAAGAATGATTCAGAAAAAAAAACGATTGGTATTCAGGCATTTTCCCCAGAAAACCTTATTTTTGGTTTTACATATCAATTTTTGACAGGAGTAACAAACGTTAAGAATCATACTTTATTCCTGGTGCATGAAAAAAGTGAGCCGAATATGTAAATAGATAGAAGGAGCCGCTTTTGGCTTAAAAAAGATAAACGTACAGAAAAGCATTGAAATTATATTTTAGTTTTGGAATTTTGCAAAGAAAGTTTAGAAATTACGTCAAAATCAAATATCAAATCAAATCAAATATCCTAAATTTAAACCCCCAAAATTTAAATTTTCGGTTTGATAAATCTCCGAGTTTGAGATTAGTTAACGCTAGCTTAAAGGCAAAAACAGAATTTAAATCACGCCAAGGCAATGTAATATAACAAAATATAGCAATAAAACATCAATGATCGATAATTTCATCGGGCTTGACGTAAAAGGCGAGAAATTCATATAAAGACAACATGTAGATGCACTCTCTCGTCGCATTGATCTTTCGTCGGAAACACCGACTTTTCACCGTCAAAGCCCGTAATCGGCTTCCCTTCAAACGATTGTTTGCCAATGTAATGAATGGTTGACGATTTTTCCTGTTGATTTGTTTCATTCCTGGATATTCCGTGAGAAAAGCAACGATTGTAGCCTTCACATCGTCCATATAATCGAAAAGTCTCACAAGCGCTGCGGGGTTTTTGCTCGGAATTCCGTGGCCAACAATCCTTTGAATGGCCGGAACGATGAGACTTTCGTTGTCACAGCTGATTACAACATATTTGAGGTGGGTCTTTATAAAAGCATTGTAGTAAAACTCAAATTCATGATCATCCCAACAATGAACTGTGACTATTTCACATTCGTTGAGTTGAGCCTCAATGAAATGCCCCAAAAGATCTTTTTTTGATGGAGCTTCTTGAAGGAAGCTGGGAAGACTCGCGTATCCCTTGACCTTGAATGACAAATGAGAAAGCAAATCCAGGCGCCAAGGCGAACAGTCACCCAAATAGAGTGAATTCACTGCCTCAAGTTGTATCATAAAAGAGGCGTGGTCCTCGTCCATTGGACTGTTGTAATCGTGACGCACCCTTAATTCATTGCACGATCGAATGTTTTTAATGAAAGTAAAATGACGAATGAAATCCAGAGTGACCTCATACCCCATATTCCGCTTCCTGATGTAGATTGCTTCAATTCCGTGTGGATCAGTCCGAAATTCAAACTGATCGACGTGATGTCCAAAAACGGTCGACGGTCGACTCAAAATCATCCATTGGAATCCTTGATTGACTTTCACCAATTCAATCACATCTCTTGCGTCCAATTGCTCCAAAACCTCCAACTTCAGATCGAAGCAAAGACGTTCGATTGGAAATGTCGTCAGATTTCGCATCTGGATTGGCGCCATTTAGCTGTAAATAAAAAGAATTAGTGTTTGTAAGGAGCAGTTCAATGCAATGGATCACTTTCAGCATTTTCAGTAGTAAAAGCTTGTTTTCTAAAGCGTGCATGAATTTTCAATAAAAGAGTTGTTAAAATGCCAAAAGTGATCCATTGCACGGGTCTAGTAGGTCTAGTAAAAAAATAGAAAACGAAAGAAATTAGCATAAATTCATGTGTTCTAGTGGTATTCTAACAAAAACCGAGATCTATTTTTTACATTATTGAGCAAAATTTGGCAAGATATGCTATAAAGATGTTAAAAACAGCACAAAAACACTGAGATCTAGACAAATGATTTTAAACAGGTGCTATAAGCTGGGGTCTCATGCATAAAATAAAATCGATCACTTTCAACATTTCAGCATTTTCGCTAGTAAAAGCTTGTTTTATAAAGCGTCCATAATGAATTTCAAATAAAAGTTTTCCTAAAATGCCAAAAAAGTGATCCATTGCATGGATCTAGTGCGGAAAAAGAGAGAAAATGAAAGAAATACGCATAAAATCATGTGTTCTAGGGCCATCCTAACAAAAAGCGAAGTCTATTTTTACTATATTGGGTGAACCTGGCACGGTATGCTATAAAAATGTGAAAAACAGCACAAAAACACTGAGGTCGGGACAAATGAATCAAAAAAATTAATATTTTAAACAGGTCAGGCTTAAGAAAATTATACTTAACAGCTTATTATTACCCGAATTAATCAAAATGAGGAATTTCGCCAAATTCCCATCTTAAAGACTAGCAGCTACAGTAGGTTTTTCGACGAAACCTACCGTAATCCAGATTATCCTGAATATAATTTACACACAACGAAGCAAAAAAACCCAAAACACTCAAATCTCCTGTAAAATTGTAACGTTTTACCTTTTTACCCTTTTTAACTTGTAACCGTTTTACAACGTGCACAAAATCATATTTTAAACAGGTCAAGTTCTTTAAAATGGGTTCTATTAGGTGAAATATGCTGGATTTATCAAATTCTAATCATTTTGCATTAAGAAATGGCGTTTAGCTCAACGCTGAAACTACTTCTTTTAGATCTCAACTCTAAATTTCAAGTTGTAATCCAAATTGGTTGGAAATCATAGAAACTCGTTGAAACCTAAGTTTTTTTTTTCTGTGCCAGCTTGGCTAAAAATAACTCTTTATTCGAATCGGATATCACAGGCTCAATAATCATTATCGTTGTTGTAATAAAAAGACAGCTAAAGCAGAAAAAAGGTATGGGACCTAGAATTGAGTCAACTAAAACAAAAAAACACATAGTCAAACGATGAAAATGAATTTCCTATGTGGGAAAGTCGAGTTTGGACGAATGCTCGATGCTTTGAACAAAAAGATTTCCTCGTTATAGCAGATTTTGATGTAAATCGAGCCTTCTAGCCGTTTTTGGAAGTAAATCATTGAAAAGGATTAGTTTTTAAGCAAACATTCTTTCATCCTGGATGTCATTCTATTCAAAATTGATGGAAAAAACGAAAAAAAATGGTTTGAATTTTCAAAGTCGACTTTCCAATCATCACAAAAAGCATCGAAAGCCAGCAAATGAGACCCGTTATCGATAAATATGCGTAAATTTTGCAAATAAATACGAGGTTGGGGAGAAATTCTTAAAAGCGGTAAGGCACGTGAATCTTGAAAAAGGAAACCAAGGATAGGGCTAAGAATTGTGATACGGTAATTGATTTACTTATCAGCCACTTAGCAGCCACGTAGCAGCCTTCTCAAATCGGTCTTCTCAAATCGAAAACAAGTTCTATCGTTATTTTACGTCTTTTCTACCGTAATCTGTTTCCTATTTTGCACTTAATTTGGCCAAAAAAGCACACTGAAGAAAGTTAAATTCTTGAAGTGAAGTGATTTCCTTTTGAAGTGCCCCATTCTCTAGTGTGAACTCCAGCTTTGAGAACTACCGGATTCCCGGCTTCCAGCTGATCAAGGAAATGAGAAACACATCCAAAGCAAATTTTCAAAGAAATCACAGGAAAAAGAGCACTTCAAAGACAGAAATACGATAGCTTTTTACCTAATCTTTTAGAAAAACGGTTCAGTCAAAGGAACAAGTTATTGGGCAAAGGAAAACGAGTTCAAGAATTGACAAAAACGGGTATCTAGAAATTCAGCAATTGATATGGGCATTCCAGAATTGCACACAGAAACAAGCAAGATCCTAAAAGCAAAATCGAAAAAGGTCCTAAAGGATAAATAAAGGTTTTCTAAACTTTGGCACAACGGGTCTAAAATCGATTTTCTAAAAATTAAAAATTGATCTGATCAATACCAATTCTTACATACTATCCAACTAAGAAGAAATCAAAGTTTTATTAAAATCTGTCTACTTAGAAAAAATATAATAGGGTGAACAAGTTACCAGGTTTACATCTATTACGTAATTACGTCTGATCTGATCAATACTAATTTCTGGAAGAAATGGTCTGGAAACACGTTCACCTATTAACTTTTTTTTGAGTAGACCGATTTTGATGGAACTTTGGCTTTTTCTTAGTTGGATAGCATGTAAAAATTGGTATTGATCAGATTTGAAGAAAATCGATTTTAACTTTTCTCGTGGATCGTTGTGAGTCGGGATATTTACTAGAGAAAAACGTTTAAAAAAAGAGTAATTTCAAAAACCCTCAACCAAGGCGTTTATTGGGTAACAGGGAAATCTGAACATCTTAACGCAGCTTAAAAGGGCTATAGTAGCTACAGCTATTACGCCAATGAGGGTGCCGGTTTATAAGTGGTATAGTTGGGGTAATAATCGTCTTGTTGTAGCATCATATATCCCCATAAAGACGGCTCTCTTCGCATGCCTTTCCCGAAAGATTGCGATGATCTCTGCCGATTCCAAACGAAAAAGAAATAGATGACAGCCGCCACGCAAGCAATGACAAAAATCGCCTCGACCGGTGGAAAGAATGAGGAAGTGGAGTGTGCGATCTGAAATCGTGAATTTCATTGGGATTACTCTATTTGAAGCAATTATTCCTAAATCCTGGATGTCACGCTAGGCAATGGTATACAGTATGTCGTTTTTAATGCGCTTTCTAAAAAGTGTCTCGACTACCGTAACCCAGTCTGTATTCTTTCTCCAATCTATCATTGTGAATGGCTTCCGTGAGTTCCAGCTTAGCTTTCCGTGAGCTTAAGAACTCATTTTGTCAATAAAATCTCCATTTTACATTCTACAATCCAAAACTGCTTAGTGAAATCGACTATTTGGTTCGGTTTGGTTAGCAAAGATTTCAGTTACGCAAAAAAATCGCTATTAATCCAAAAATCAAAGCGAAACAAGCGTAAAAAGCGATAAAAACTTCCACTAATCATGCAAAAAGAAAAGAAAAACGTATAAAACTCATTCAATAGCTAAGCCTTGCCTTTTTCTCTATTCTTGAGTCAAAGATTTAGGGAAGTTCTGCAATACCTAGACTTTTCGAGTTTCAAATTCGAAAAGCAAAGATCAAAAAAACCAACCGATCCCCTGGCGGTGACTTTCTGCGAGTCGCGAAGTGGGAAGTATCTGAAATTCGTTGGTTTTGATTCCGACCTTGTTCAGATTCATTTTTAAGCTTTTAACAGTTTCTCAAGTTCTTTAGATGTACTTCTAACTCTATGAGGGCCAAGGACAGGACACGAAGAATTAGAAGCAACAAGGAAGACTATAGAAAATGCGTCTTCTTTGACGATTTGTCAATTAGATTCAAGAAAATGTTGGAACTGATGTGGCAAAATGAATTTGATTCATTTTAGACACGAGATAAAGAAATTGAGTTACAGTAGCAAGAACATGGCTGAAATAGTTTGAATAATTTATTGTAGTGACAGTGAGCTAGTAGATATTTTTGGTGTCTCCATCTAGGATCAATAACAGCTCAAAGATATAGATTGTAGCCAAGTGTCGTAATGAGCAAGATTCAAGCAATCGAGTGGAATTATAGTACAATATATCGAATATATAGCTATAGTATCTTGCTCGCCAGAATAGAATATTCGTCTCCAACCCAACGCTGGTACTCTACTCCTCATCCGTCGACCCATCCTCATAAAAGCAAAATTTTATAACATAAGCAATCACAACAACGAAAGCAATCACAAACTATCTCTATATTCCTATTCATTTCCTATATTAACTATTCAGAGTGAAAACCTCGACGTAACTGGAAAAAACGACTTCGCACACAGAAAAAGCAACTTAATATGAAAAGCAGCAAAATTTGACATTGACACAACATTATTTTCTTGATTTTCTTTTGATTTTCTTTTCTAAATGTAAAAATAAGACGATTGTATCCCGATATGGAATCAATAAAGTACCTCAAATGGTAGATCATAGCACCGAGAGCCCATTGCACTTCTTGACCATCAAGCATCATCACCGATTGGAATCTAAAAAAAGACCAATTTAAAATGAATCGTTTAGTCAATCTTTATGCTAAAGATTCGAAACAGAAGCTAGCCAATGCTTTCTTAAAACGGAATGTATTTAGATTTGTATTTATAGACTATAGATCGCATAGACTCGAATCATTGCGTCAAGAAAACCACTTTACGGTTAAATTCAGCTTTATTCCATTTAGTTTATTGCAACTATATAGGTTTTTAATTTATCAAAACCACCCACTTATTCTTTTGCTCATTGATGTCGAAGCCAGAGTGGAGAGCGGCCGTGATCCACGCACTCTTGAAACATTGAGTTCTTATCCGATCCTCATCAGCCTTTGGATACAATTTGCTGCGCCATTGTGACTAAAATTGAACTTTAGATTTGGTTGAAGCAAGTATTAAGTGAAATTAGTCAAATTTTAAAAACTAGCTATTTCACAGGTTTTGACGATTGAGTTAAGTCATGCTTCAATTCAATCAAAAATCAAATTTGTCCAACCAAAATCTCACCTGAATAACGCTCCATCGTTGATTACAGAATTGCCGACTCTTCTCGGTGACCTGCGAGTAATTGTATTGACCGCCGAGTTGCAACACGTTGTCCACCGAGTACCAAAATTCCGAGAAGCCGAAGAATTGCATTTCTAAACGTTAAATGGTATATAGGCTTCAGCTTGAAATATACCTGATAAATTCAACTCTGGCGCGGCCACATTGCCAAAGAAACATTGTGGTAGACAAGTTTGCGACGAGCCCGGATCAATCAATGCTGAAAGGCGATTCACGCACGAATCCCAATCACCGACACCCTGGAAAATGGAAGCTGTTAAAAAGGAGTTACAGAGAATCTTGCGACTTGTACCATCCAATGGCTTTCGTGGTTTTGGCAAATCATTAGCTATTGTTATTTGACTCAGGACAACAAAAACGTTTTCCTTAACTTTACCTTTTTCATGAATTGTGATCCATCATCATTTGTCGCAAGTTGTTGAAGATTGACCGGCAAACACTCATCGCGAACATATGATCCATTCGTCTCACCGTTCGTCTTGTACAGGTATTGCTCGTACCTAAAAATGATTTACTTGTCAAAACATTGAAATTCATAGACAAGAGGTCTTTTTATCTTAAACTAATCTATTTAATTGCTCAAATCCAGACTTTTGGGTTCACTGAGCTTCTCTAGGCTAACTTATCGTCATTATTCTCACCTTTTCATCCCCTCATTCACACCAAATCCAAGGAAAGTCGTCACGAAGAGTTTGTACTTAAAAAGTGGGCTCTCATCTCGACATCCCAAGTTCACCTAAATAACAATGTGATTATAGACGTTTAAGTTAACAATTTTTACATTTTCCACATGTTCAGACAAGAAAGGCGATGTTTGGGGCAACTCGAAAGCGATTTGTACAGAAGCTCCACCCATGTCCATCTAAAATTAATTTAAAGATGAAACCTCTCTACAAGTTAAAAATCCAGATCATTGTGTACTCTAAAACTTAAAAATTACTTACCATTCCAACAGTGTCCTTTCTTGTAGTAATCAACGGGACCGGAAAGCTGGGATTTTCGGAGCTCGTAGATTTGAAGCGACCTAAACAAGAGATGTAAGCCTTAAATTGAACGAAACATTTATTTCAACCATCCTGCAAAGATAAAACCAAACTTTACCCACCAAGAATGTAATTTGCGGCAATCCAACTGTAGATACCCTCCCATTTGCCTTCAATAACACGGATATGTTCTTTCATTATCTGAAATGCAAAAAATTAGTGCTGATCCTCGGTTTTCATCAAACAAGCTGAGCGTTTCGAGGTTTAAACTTTATTTTTATCTCTTTAAAGTGAAACTTGTACCTGCATGACGGTCATTTGAGGAAGTTTCGCGTGCAAATCGGCCAAGATCGCCCGTTGTTGTCTAAAATGGCAAATTTGTAAGTGATTCGTGTCAATTTCAATTTTACGCAAACTATCAACACCTTTTAGCGGTATTTTTCTAAACTTTTCTTACTCCATTAAAGACTCCATCATTAAACCCACTCTTCAGGCACCAATCTCATCCCGGCCGTCGCAAAGATGAACACTGGTGTGTAGGGCCGTTTCGCCTCGGGCACAAACTCGATCGCGTAGTCCAACAATGGCTTGATGTATTCTAGAATTTGAAGATAGAAGAAGTTGTACTTAAATCAACTAACCAGCAGCATCTTGGGGATGATCGGCAAACGTTGAGAGACCAGGGTGTGCCTGGAAAAAAGAATTACTAAATCTGTCTTGATTTAAAGATAAAGCTACTTATTGGTATAATTTTTGGTAACATTGACCTTTCTTATGTTATCAACGTATTTATTGAGCTCTGAACATGCTAAAAAATTGCATTTGCATTTGAAATTACTGAGCAAAGAACAACTGTGCTTGTTTTTCTTCAACTAGGTGGTCTCAGCAAGAAAAAAACCAAGCATCGTGATTCTTGCCACAAGCTTATCTAATTTATCAAGTTCGAATCAAACTTTTTAAAGAAATCGGACAGTTTTAATTCACCCATCCTTAATTCCATCTCTAATTCCTTCATAAAACCGACCTTTTTCACGACCGGTTCATTCTTGTGATCGAGTGCCGGTCGAATGTCAATCAATTGGGTGTCCGAGTATGAAGTCCATTGATACAAAAACATTCGTGTTCCCGTTGAGCCGGCGTCCAAAATCAGACCATACGATGGATCGTCCGCATCTAAACAATCAGTGTTGTATTTGATCAAAAAGTTTGCTTTACAGTTTACACGAAATAAAGGTAATATTTGGTTAGCTTAGAAAATGTTCCGGGAATGGTTCAACTTTAGTCAAATTTTGGTCGACAGAAAGTGCAATGCTAGACAAATCAAATCCAAATCACCATCATCAACCAGTTTTTAACGTATAACACTTAACGTTCAAGCTTAACTCTGGTAGTATCACATAGCTTTTACCTAAGCTTTCTACGCAGGCAAATCCAGCAAATTCCGTAAGATTTTAACGTGCAAAACTCAAAACTCAAAACTATCAAAACCGTCCAATTCAACTCAAAAATTTCAGCTTCAACATTTACGTTCGAAACTAAAACACAATCAAATCCAAAAACCCACCACCATCCGTTCTGAAGAAACTCGGATGATCGGCGTGATTGAGGATCAAATAGAGCGGGATGGCGATGATCAACAAAGCCAAAAGCAGCACCACCCGTCTGCGGACCATCGTTTCCCCTCTCATCTCCTTCGGGGCATCGTCTGAAACTTTGAAAATGGTAAGAACATTGAAATTTACGCAAAACTGCCAAAAGAAACAATGAAAAAACCCAAAAATTGATCAAATTTTTAAGTCTAAAGTCAACGTTCTACCTGTTCCCATCGAATTTCGGCTAAAAACACGATTTCCAATAGTTCAAATGGGTAAATGACAATGTTTTCAAGACTTTCGAAAGTTGAAAATTCAAAAACAACAGATAGAATGCAAAAATTCGATCAGTGAGCTCTAGTTGAGTCAAAAACTGTCAACAAAACAGCAAAACACCGCTTTGTGGGCGCGAAAAGCGCAAAATTGATGTTTTTTCACACTTTTTCATGGTTTAAAGCTTAAAAACAGGTCAATAACGCGGAATTTTCTTTGAAAACCAATCAAAGCCATCAAAAAATTAAGAATTTTGCTAAAAGAATGAGGGAATGTGGTCATTTCATGCCTAAAAACGCTAACAATAGCCTGATTTTTACTAACCTTGTGCTAAAAGACAGCTTTTAATAAATTTCCGATAGAATTGCTGTCAAAAAGGGGGAAAACGGGCGCAAAATCGTGAAATTTCTAAAATTTTGAACCAAACTGAAATTCTTTTCTCAAGTCAAGACAAAATCGCAAAATGACGTCAAAATTCTACCGTAATCCGCCGCTTTTTGTTTTCTAAAAGATGCTCCTTTCAAAGCTGCTATAAAGTGGCTTTTGGACTCAAAGCATCAAAAGCAATTGCTTTTTACCTTTCTGTCGATAGATTTCGACGGGTTGACTGAATACAGTGAAAATCATTGTCAGAAACAAAAAAGTTCGCGATCCCAGATGCCCAAATGAAAGAAATGGTAAAGATCAAGATCGAGAAACTTATATTCATTTGATCGAAAAGGTGAAAAAAAAACTGATCGAAGTGATCTGAATGGTTTTTGGAGAGTTTGGCAGCTGAGACTGAGACGTGGATGATTGGATGGCATAAAAATCGAAAAGAAAAAGTGAAAAGATGGGGGAGAACTAAATGAAAATGGACATCAAAGGGTAGACATGGGGAATAAATGTCGTGGGTGGTGAGAGAAGAGTGACGGGAGGGGAAAGAGTACGGTAGGATAAGTGCCTTTTCCAGAACACAAGACAAGCCTAGAATCTAGGTTCTAGATGTAAATTCCAAGAAGTTTTCAAGAAGATTGGCAACAAGTATGCTTCAAAAAACTGGGGTTATGAAAATTTTGGTTAAATAGCATTAAAGAAGTTGGGAAGAGGAAATTTTGAAAGCCTAAATTCTTATCGCAATTTGGTATCAAGCGGAAAAGTTGCTATAATAAGTGTGATAAAGACTAAGTGTAGCAACCCTAAATCTTCTCAGTGACTGTGGGATTGTGAATCTCATTGCAGGGCACAAGCTCGGATAGGTTTTGCTTTTTGTTGTTGAACACTAGCTCTATGCTGCGAGTCGAGCGGCGCTTCTATGTAGGGAGAAAATAGAGGAATATGCAGCCGAAGCAGTTGAGCAAATGAGCGCGCCAGAAGGGGTGCGGTTCCAAATTTGAGTACAAGTGCTTTGTATTTTGTGGCTTGAAGTGTAAATTATTTTGGGGAAGATCTGGATTACGGTTTCGTCGGAAAACCTACTGTAACTGCTAGCATTTAAGGGAAGAATTTGAAGAAATCCCTCATTCTTTTCTATCTAGATTTCTGTATTTTTGTCGTGTTTTAACATTTATTATAGCATACGGTGCAAAATTTTTTCGTTTGTTCAAATTTCATATTCGCGAAGCTTTAAAACGTTTAAGATTCTAGAATTTCTCAATTTCCTCAACTAAACGCCTCAACTAAACGCCATCTTAAAGCACCTCACCTGTTTAAAATATTAATTTTTTTAATTAATTTGTCTAGATCTCAGTGTTTTTGTGCAGTTTTTAACATTTTTAATACCATACTGTGCCAAATCTCACTCAATAATGTAAAAAGTAGACTTGGGTTTTGTTAAATTCCACTAGAATACATGATTTTATGCTTATTTCATTGGTTTTCTTTCTTTTTTGGTACTAGAACCGTGCAATGGATCACTTTTAGCATTTTAACAAATCTATTATGGGAAATTCATCAATCACACTTTAGAAACAAGCTTTCACTACTGAAAATGCTGAAAGTGATCCATTGCATTGATCTGCTCCTTACAAAGACTAATTCTTTTTGTTTACAGGTAGAATGGCGCCATGCAAGATGCCAATGATCATATGGAATATGACAACATTTCCAATCGAACGTCTTTGCTTCGATCTGAAGTTGAAGGTTTTGGAGGAATTGGACGCAGAAGATGTGATTGAATTGGTGAAAGTCAATCAAGGATTCCAATGTATCATTTCGAGTCGACCATCGATCGCTTTTGGACATTACGTCCATGAGATTGAATTTGAGTTTGGACCGTTTAATTCACACGAAATTGAAGCAATCTACATCAAGAGGCTGAATGGGGACTCACTTAAGATCCCTCTGGATGTCATCCGTCATTTTCCCCTCATCAAAAACATTCGATCGTGCGATCAATTGTTGATGTGCCGCGAATACTACCGCCCGATCGACAAGGATCATGCCGCTTTTCTGAGACAATTAGAGGCAGTGAATTCACTCGATTTGAAGGACTATTCGCCTGATTGCCTGGAGTCGCTTTCTCATTTGTCAATCAAGATCAAGATAAAGAGATACGCGGGTCTTCCGAGCTGTTATGTAGGAGCTCCATCAAGCAAAGAGCTTGTTGGGCATTTCATTGAGGCTCCACTCAACGAATGTCAAATAGTCGAATTTGATTGTTGGGATGATGAGGTGTTTCAGTTTTACTACAATGCTTCGAAAAAGACCCAGATCAAATCTGTTGGATTCGGTTGTCGTTTCATCGTTCCAGCGATTCAAAGAATTGTTAGCCTCGGTATTCCAAGCAAAAACCCCGCAGCGGTTGTGAGAGTTTTCGATGATTGTGTAGACTATAGGAAGGCTACAATCGTTGTTTTTCTCACGGGATATCCAGGAATGAAACAAATTAACGGGAAAAATCGTCAACCATTGTTTGCACTGGCAATGGAACGTTCGATGGGAAGCCGCTATCTCGTTTTGACGACGCAAACTCTGTGTTTCCGGCGAAATATCAATGCGACGCGAGATTGCATCTACTTGTTGTCTTCAAGGAAAATCAGGCAGGCAAGTGAAATCGATTTTTTCGCCTTCTACATCAAGCCAGATGAAATAATCGATCATTGATGTTTTATTGCTATATTTTGCTGGCCTTACATTCTCTTTGCGTGATTTAAATTCGGTTTTTGCGTGGAAGCTAGTATTAACAAATCTTATCAATTTATCGGAGATTTATCAAACCGAAACTGGGGGGTTAATGCCAGTTTTTCATGAATCTTTCTTGTTGATTATTTATTCATTCTGTCTACTATGTGTTTGAAGGTGAAATTTGATCGCCGTTAATTTGAATTTGAGTGTCTTTGATTGAATTTGTATAGAATTTCCTTTCACTTAGATATTTGAATTTGACTTAATTTCTAAACTTTTTTTGCAAAAGTCCAAAACTAAAAGAGAATTTCAATTCCTTTCTGTACGTTTATGTTTTCGAGGCCAAAAGCGGCTCCTTTTATCTATTTACATATTCGGCTCACTTTTTTCATGCACCATGAATAAAGTATGATTCTTAACGTTGGTTACTCCTGTTAAAAATTAATATGTAAAACCAAAAATAAGGTTTTCTGGATAAAATACCTAAATACCAATAGTTTTTTCGCTCAATCATTCTTTCCGCTTTGTCTTCTTCGTTTCGGCTCAGATATCGCTGAAAAAAAGGTTTATCTAATCATTTTATATCGGCATTCTAATGGGTTTTATGTATTCGTAATAAGTTGAATTCAAATTTCAAAGTATGAAGGCCACCTTGTTTTCGTCTCATTTCACTTCTTTACTCTTAAAAAAAACCGAAGTCTGTTTTTTTGCGTTATTGGGTGAAATTTGGCACGGTTATTAAAATTTTAAAAACAGTACAAAAACACTGAAATCTAGACAAATGAATTTAAAAAAAATTAATATTTTAAGCAGGTGAGGTCCTTTAAGATGGGGTCTCATGCGTAAAATAAAATATCCTGGATTTGTCAAATTCTAATCATTTTGCATTATGAACTGGCGTTTAGTTGGGAAAAGTGGGAAATTCCAGAATTCTAAACAATTTAAAGCTTTGCGAATATGAAATTGGAAAGAATGAGAAGATTTCTCCAATCGCTTGAAATATTTAGCTCATTAATTGAATAAGTTAATTTTAAAAGGAGCACTGATCTAATGGGTGCGTGTGCCAGATGGATGGCAATTACGCCTCCACACAAAGAACACCTCGCCAGTTATTTTGTTCGCATTGTTCAGAACAGTGAATTCGAGGTTTTCCTGGCCATTTACCAGGAAAAGTGCCTGTAAAGCCTGGAACACGGTCTTCAGAAAACAGATTTCCGGGGTTTGCCGGCAAATTACCAAGAAAAGTGCCAGCAAACCCCGTCAGAAGAGTGTATTCGGCGCTTACCAGCCATTTACTAAGGAAAAGTGCCGCCAAACCCTGGGAATGACTGTTAGAAAAGTAGCCGCGAAACCCGTCAGAACATCAAATTCGGGGTTGGGGGTTTTGCCAGCCAATTACTAAGAAGTGCCGGCAAATCCCGTCAGAACAGTCAGTTCGGGGTTTGCCGCCCAGTCGCCGGAGGCACTAGTGGGGTCAATTTCTTCTTTGGCTCCTTTGGAGGTGACTTGTCGATGAACAGGTCTACCGGAGGGACCGATTTTTTGTTGAGCCTTTCTCCTCTTTGCAACCTTCTCTACAATTTCCGGATTCAAGCCAGGACATTTGGTAACAAGTTGTTTCGGAGGCACGGGTTTCTCCAAGGCAAGGTATCTGATAGATCGCAAGGGGCTCAGCTGAGTTTGTTGACATTCATATTAAGGGG